TCAAACTTATAGTAGAGCCCAGACGTACCAAAAAAATGCAATAACATATTATGTACAAAATGACATGTAGATGGAGTTGAATACATCGAAGTCTCTAAATATATTTAATATCTGGTACCTTTGAAGATATTAATGAAAATATATATTATATTTTTAAATGCAATTTGTGGCGTCTATTTTATTTGCCTACTTTTAGGATGAATAGGTGAAGTATTCTTTGAGGATTAAGATACTATTAGTAATAATGTCGAATATGGGGAAATTGCTGTTAATTTCTTATCAATTTGTGATTGAATTTCCCGGAGTAGTTAAATAAAAAATTAATTCAAGAATAGCCTCAGGTTTGGAAATTCTTCAAGCAGTTTAATGTAACTTTAAAATATTAAATCCAAACGTTCATGCTTTCTTTTGAGTAGCCTATTTTAAGGATGCTAATTTCCTATATTGCAGATATAAGCCAGAAAACTCCATAATCACCAAATGTTAAGTAGGGTTTTGTCCTGGAGAAGTCGACATAGCTTCGGACGTTATTTTATTGTTTTATTATGTAGCTTCTATATATTAAATTTTATTTTATACAATTTATTTTAATTCTTACAAAACTTCTCTAAGTTATAAATTTAATGCTCCAAAAAAAAAAAAATCGGAATCCAAAATTAAACTCGGCATTGCCAGACCATTAATTAAGAATTTAGTGTAGCGGATAACCAATGTTTAGCCAACGGTTATTATTTAAATAATATTGGTAAATGGCCCAAAAACCAACTCTGTGATTATAACTGTACCACCACCTCACTCTTTCAAATTACTGGTCAATGGGATTTTGTGGTTTTCAAACGCCCCTGCTGTTGCTGTTAGTATTTGTTTTTATTTAAATTTCGTAATAATTCTTAGATTTGTGTTTGCCATTAAAATTTACAGTTTTAATATTTATTTTTCAATTAAAACTCAAAGAAAAACGTCACATAAAAAAATATGAACTGCGATTTGTGGTTAGGCAGAAAAGGTATAAAATATTTTTTTTAGTTGTTAATTATGGAGTGAGGTGTCTGATTTGATTTTATGACTCATTTATAATATGGTGGTTAAGGCAGACAAAACAAAACGAAAAAAAAAAAATAAATAAAAAATAAAAGTTGAAGAAAAATATCAAGAAGAATATAGATACCCTACATTATGAAGTTGGGGCTTAGTGATTTACTATTATGAAGTTAAAAATTTTACATATTCAGAATTCATTTTTAAGAATATGTTTCTTTTGAAAATATTTTGGTTTAAGTTCAAATTATCAATTTTATTGTACATGATAATATTGGTGTAATGGGTTATTTTATGATTTCCACAGTTTTAAGTATTTATAAGAATTTCATCATTTTCATTTTCTACAACCGGGATCCACAAAAGCGAAAACTACTTGTCTAAATTCTATTTTCTACTTCGACCATTACCACTTATTCTTACTAAATAGGTATTTTTATATTTTTCTACCAATATTTAATTATATGCAAGTCAATCTAATTTATTGACCCCCAATATCATCGTCAAGAAGTTCCCCACAGATTTACAATATTCAGCCTCTTCTCTCCGCAACACATCTTAACTTGGAGTATATTTCCCACTTCGACCATTACCACCATCAACCTCATCATTGTCATTACCACTGTCTACACCACCTTCAATTCTCTTCGATTTGTTCCTATCATTTTGCTTTGGTAATTTAAGACAACGACGACGAAGACGCCGAAGAAGAAGAAGCCGAATACAAATATAAGAATTCTTCATTTTATTGTAATTGGATACATAAGCTGATTATAGCGCTTGCATTTATTGCCATAATATAAAAAAAATTATAGCATAACGCTGTGAATATTATTTTACATTCGACAATCAGAAGTTGTCTTGTGGCTTTTGTAGATTATTTGATTGGTTGGCGGTTAAACCACGGAGGGAGTGATGCGACAAGTCTCGACGCAGGTGTGAATTAATAGCTAAGTCGGCATTATTTTTACGCTGGTTTTTGGAAAGTTATAAAAAGTGAATACTGGCCACTTGGATGGCACAAAAACACTATTATGGAGACGTAAGCAAAAATATTTGAATTTCGGGAGGCTTAAATGAGAACTTAAATGGATCCTCCACAAATAAAATGAGGTCAATGACACAAATAATATAACTGTGGATATTTGATACTTAAATGAGGAATATTCAGTGAAACAGAATAGTAAAGTATCTCTTATTACCAATAAAAAAAATGAAAAAGTAGAGGACAAATTGAAATACTAATTTTTCTATATTTCCGTTTTGTCTAAATATGTATTTAAGATAGGTTCTTGTTTATTACGAGATAGGGATACGTAAGTATATTATTTAATTAGTTCACTTGTAGTATTGATAAGTGGAATTCGACTTTTTTCCAAAACCGACATTTTGGCAAAGGACTTTCGATTTTGAGGTCATTACGATCCAGGAATACATAAGTCGACTTTTGTTTCATTAAGTTTTGGCCTTGAAAACTCCTAGAGAGGAAATCGATTTTTGTTTGCGTTAAAAATGACTAAGTCGACTTTTGATTTTGAAATCAAAAAATTGGTGCCGGCTTTTATTCTCATACGAGCCAAAAACATTTTCTTTCTATAATATCTTTACAAAAATAAGAACTTGTTCATTGTACCCCTCGACTTGTGGTATTAAAAATTCTTAGAGAGGACATCGGATCGATTTTTGTTCCTGTCTTCGTAACCCTAAAACAGACCCCAAACACCACGTTATAGTCCATTCAGTTGCAAAAAGTGGTTAGAACCTTAATGTCAATAACTACAGCAAGGTGTTTTATTTGAGAACAGAACCTAAATATAAAATTCTTCTCCAAGAAGAATATCAAATAGTGTCCCCTTTATCTTGTTAATATGTCTAGAACCCTCAAAACACTTAAAATTGGCCGGACCGTCTATATTTGTATGTGGTTTTATGTGAGCTCCTACTTCAGGCCTATCTCAGGCTGAATACAATGAGTCTGCCAGCGCTCTCACAAAAATGAGTACCCAGTATCCCTCACACCTATTTAAATGCGAATCCTTGGTTAGGAGTTTAGCCTTTCTACACTGCTGCCTTTCTATGTGTCAGTTATCCGGCTAATAATGCTAGTCCACATTCGAGCAACACACTCCACCCATGATTTGAGTATAAACCACAGCCACCGCAATGCTCCAACTACAAGGTTATATCCAGGGATCTAGGGGCAGCCGCGCAGATTAATAAAAAAAGCCGGACCGACTATATTTGTATGTTGTTTTATGTGAGCTCCTACTTCAGGCCTATCTCAGGCTGAATACAATATGTCTTCCACCGCTCCCACAAAAATGAGTTCCAATTCCCTCACACGTATTTGAATTCGAATCCTTGGATAAAGGTGGAGCCTATCTAAACTGCCTTTCTATGAATTAGGTACCCGGTTGACATTCAAATCAACATTCGAACAACATACTCTATCCGCGATTTGGGTACAGCCAGAGCGATGCTCCTATAAGTGGGCCAACTACAGGCTAGATCCGGGGATTGTCGAATATTCTGACTTATTCTTAAAAAATCTTAACAGCCTGTTCAAGGCCCATATAAGGTCGACCAAGAAGACTACTTTTGACATTTGACATAGTAGTTTTTTTCACAATTGAGATTTGACTCTCTTTGAATTTCAAATCACAATTAAGTGTTTTGACAGCAAACCCAGTCGTCAGATGGGCTTACAGGCCGATCTTATATAGGCCATGAGCTTGTTTATGCATGCCGAAAGAAAATTAATTCGAAAACACCAATTTTATGTGTATTTGTAAAAATTTTGGATTTTAATTCAAATTGAAGAAAAACAAATATTTGAAAATGTATGCAGAATTGTTGTGCAAGCCTTTCTTTTCCTTGCCTCGATCTTAACTTGTTTGCTCATGAGTGCGCATGCCTTGTCGATACAAATGTTGAACAACATAGAAGTCAGCTGATGAATTTCACAACATTGCGGAGAGAAAATAAGAAATATATTATTTTAAGATGATATTTTAAGATGATATTTCAATATTTTAGTATAAAAAATATATTTATTTATTTAAAAAGTCCCCTTTGAAATATTATCTTTACTCTTCGAAAAAAACAAGTATTTGGCAAAAAAATGGAAATCACTTCCCCGAATACATTTTTTTCTGTGTTCTTCATTTTTGAATAAATTATAAATTTTAAACTATTGTTTTATGACAATCTATAGGACAAGAAAAAAAAAAAAAAAAAAAAAAAAAAAAAAGATTCGATGAATAACATTTGGCATTTTCCCAACTAATTCAAATAATAAAATTATTATATTTTGGGGTTTTTTTAAGGGATTTTTTAAGAATTTTTAAAGAATTGAGGTCCATATGAAAATATATAAATAAATAATTTCATTTATTTTTATAGAATGAAAAAACTATTTTTTCCAATTATTAAAGAAAATATTTTTGAAATTTTCAAGAATAATTACATCACCCAATTTGGAAATTTAATGAAAAGGGAAAAACTTTTAAATATTTTAGCAGAGTTTTTTTTGCTATTATTATTCTGATTACTTTTTTATTTTTTATTATTATAATTATTTTTAATATATTTATTATTTTTATTATAATTATTATTTCTATTGTATTATATGTAGAATATTTTTTAATCAAGAGTTTATTATTATTATTATTAATATAGTAATAATAATAAATAATAATTAAAATTGTTTTTTTTTTTTTATTATTTTTATGATAACTATAAATATTACCATTTTTTTTTATTGATGTTATCATTATTTTTTTTTATAATATTCATGATTATTATAATTTTTCATACCATTGTTTTTATTATTTTATTCTTATTATTTTATTGTTAAATAAATATTTTGTTTGTATTTAATTCGTCTGTTTCGCTGTTAAGCAAATTCAATATTTTTTGATTTATTTATTTTTTGGTTTTCATAAAAAAATTCTTCTACTTACCACTGTTAACCGAATAGCGATACAACGCCTCGTACAGTGCCATCATCATTCCCGGTACCAAAGGACTCTGCATTGGCGTTTGTGTGGCTGATGAGGTGGTATTTGGCGAAGCTTGCAATGAACTGGCGGTACTGTTGGTGCCATCCGAGGAGGTGTTGCCACCAGATGAGACCGTGTCATCGGCACCACCCTCTGGCAAATAGAAGGGCACAGCCATTGTGTTCTGTTGTTGTCGTTGTTGTTAATGAGAATTGAATCCAAGGAAGAATCCTTTTTTATGATTGTGATTTTGTACAGATATTCAGATGACAACAGCAACAACAAAGCAGATAATTGGCAATATGAGGTTGTCCTTGTTGCTGTTGTCGCACAATAAAATTGCAACTAAATTGTTTATTTGTTTTGTTTGAGTTTAAGGAACAGAAATCCTTTGCACAACTACAATTAGTTTGTTTATTATTTAATATATTTTTTTAGTTTTATTTATTGTCGTTGGTGTGATGTTATCTTTCTTTTTTGTGACTTCTCTTGATATATTGAGAGAATTTCATCAATTAATTTTTTAGCGGATAACTTGTTTATACTTTTTACAATTTTTCCAAAATAATTATTTTTAGCAGTTTTTTGCACTGTTTTTAAATTTTTGTAACAATTTTAAATTTATTATATTTTTAAATTTTTTGCACAATTTCTTTTTCACAAAAGTCGTGTTTAGTACAATTAATTGTTTAATTAATTTTTAGTAATTTTTTTATTTTATTTCTTCACTTTTGAAACATAGATTGTTTTGATTTGGGGGCACTTGGCGTTTTTTGTTTTGTTTGTTGTTTAGTAGAATTTTGTTTGTTGTCTTTTTCTTTTTTGTTTCTTCTTGTTATGGTCAGTGATTTTTCTTAAACAGATTTTTTTTAACTAAAAAGCACTTAAAACGTCGTCGAACGTATAGATAAATTACAACAACACACGTCTTACTCGCTTCGTAGCTCGATTTCAACTGCTGGCAATGTGGCTAGGAGCCTCACACCATACCCGACCGATTGGGGAGCACTTTTGCTTATTGTCTCTACTCTACTCTGCAGTGCACAACACACCGACACACTCTCGGTGCAATAAGAACGAACGGCAGAACACAGAGCAGCAGCCACAGAATTATAAAAAAAAAAACCAGCAACAACACCGACAATAAAAAAGCAACAATGCAAACGCACACACAGCCAGTCAGAGTCACAGAAATGAACAGAGGCCAGCTAGCTGCGAGAACGAGAATTGTAAACAGCAACAAAAAATCACAAAAATATGAATACAACAACAAACAAACAGGCAGAACAACACACCACAAGACTCAGATGGTAGGCAGGCTGGCTGGCTCACTACTCACACACACACACACGGAGCGGTGCATCACCAGCAGTGCAACAACGACGACAAGCAAATCATGCACGCAACGTAGTCAAACAAGTCAATGCACAACACATACAGCAGCAACAACAACAACAACTATCTTAACCATGCATCCATCTATCCACCCATCCAACAAAACAGAACCAGTAATGTTGTGAAGACCAAGAGATATCTCAAACTCAGCTGCAACAACAACATCAACAAAACCTACTCTGAGTCAGAAAAAAGAAAAACAATCTTGGCTCTGATTAATCAAACTTAGAATTCCCCCCAAAAAACAAACAAGAAAAGAGCTGCTAACGGAGAGCTGTTGTAAAAAGAGAGCGAGCCCTGAAAAAGAAGAGTTCATTTGGCATAGGCCTATAAACATTGAAATAAATAATTACACAGGGCTACAGAGTAGTGGAGAAATGAGTGGTATATTAGGTCAGACACATGGAGAAGTAATGGTAGATGGGAATAATCAGGATGTTAACACATTATTCCATCAGTGGAAGACCCATAGAAGATGAATAGTAAATATAAGAACATAAAAGTACAAACGATGGTCTTTTCTGTGGCAAATACAGGGACTTAAGGCTAAAACAGATCAAAGTCGTAGAACAGATCAAAGTTATAGCTGACACGCAGAAATTTCGGTTTAAGCTTTGATCTGTTTTAGCCTATAGAGCTGGAGTTATATGTATTGCCGTTCTTCTTGTACGAAATGAAGCAACTTGATTTGGTCGTAACCGTAAAAATGCTTGATAGTTGCTTGGTTATATACAGATTGGCTCCTCTCATGCCTTCGACCCACGCCTGGACGTACTTTCCACCAAGTAGAGCTTTTACTCGTTGGTGTAGCCAGGGATTCCACTGATATTGCCAAAATGTGCTTTATGGAAATAACGGATTTACATTTAGAGCAGACCTCCGAGTTTCACTCATCATTCGAATTCAAGCGGGAGCACCTCTGAGAGCTCAAAAAATAAAACAAGCAAACGAATTATCGGTCCTACTCGAATAAGGGTTGTATGGCTTGCTCTTTTTGGAGTGGGAGTGGGAATTAGAGTCGATCTAGCGATGCCCATTTGTCAATCTAGCGATATCCATTCGATAGCTCAAGATGGGAATATTCGACTTGATCGACGTTTGTCAAAAAGAAATCATTATTTTTTGCGAACAGAGAGACCTTTAATTTTGAGAAAACTAATTCAATGCCCATGCATAAAAAATGGTTCTAAGTTAGAAAAGTAGGAGTTCCATATTATAAGTGACCTCAACAAGAGAGCCCGACTCCATGATCATCACGTCAGTACGGAATTATATTCGAGAAAAATAAAATTTTAATGATATTCCCTATCTGGGGAGGGGAAACTCTCTGCTTTACTTTTACGAACTCTGAAAATAATTGACATCCACAATTTCTCATATAATTCCGAATGAAAGGGTATCTAATGTTTTGTAAAACGATGTGGTGGACTGTGGCGCCCAAGCATAATAATTGGGAAAATAAATTCTAAAACCTAAAATAAATAAAGCCTAAAACGAAATCTGTTTCTACACAATAAGAACTAAAAATACCAAATTTTGGTGGAATTATAAGAAACTTTGCGAAAATTATGGAGTGGTTTTATGCCTAGATAAATTATTCGACAAAGTAGGAAATATTTTCGTTTTTTGGCAACTTTATGCAAATTTTTTTCTTGATATATAATCGATATAGAGATATATTTTCCTTGAGTGAGTATAGTGAAATTTGATGGAGAATATTTCTTTCGTTGAAGCCTGATGAGAGAGAATTTTGCATAAATTCGCGTAGAGTGCGGTTTTAACCTTCATAAATATTGAATTATGAAATCCTGGCTTTTCAATAAAATTTTAACTTTTGATGACTCCTGGGAATTTTATGATAAATAATTTTGTAGAATTTTACGATTGCCACGATCCCGTTTAAAGGGTTTTAACTAGATTTAGAAAAAAAGGACCAAAAGACCCCTTTAGGGGCTCGCATGAGGAATAAGCTTTGTGACCAAAGGAAGCCTCGTATTGTTATCTGTAATATTGTCGATGACACTATACATCTGAAATGTAAGGATTCCAAGGAATCTTAATCTGAAAATTTCGAGAAATGGTGAAGGGGAAGAAATATGCGCCCTCTTTTGTTTTTATCTCTACTTTCATAACCGGTTGGATTTTTCCTGTAATTATTAAAGAAATAGAATTTTGTTGCACAGTGTTATTATAATGAATCCCTCTCCCTGCTTTCATTAACACTTTTATGAAGGTACCTACGTGTATAACAAATAATTTTTTCTGTAGTCCAGTGTAATAAAAAACCCGCTTCATCATTGCTTATTGTTCGTTCTACAGATGATGATGATGATTTTTTGGTTCATTTATATTTTTCCTCAAAATTTAATGAGAGCGAGCCCCTAATTTTTGTATCTCTGCTCTAACCCAGAGCACCAGCAAGAGCAACAACAACCACAGAGTTTCTTAAATGATTTCTGAATTTATTGTTGCTGCTGTTGTCATACATATGGATGTAGCAGGTATAAATATGTATTTAATCAGTGTTATATTGTTGTTGCTGCTGCTGCCGCCAGCACTGCGCTAAACGTGACAGCAGCGGCACTACCACCATCACCACCTCAGTTAGCAGTAGGAACCGACACCGCCACCAGAGCAACACAATACACCAACCAGCCATCCAACGAATGCCTAAGCAAAACAAAACATACGATTGCAGGTTTTTTCGCTTGTTTTGTTTTGATATTCACATTTGTCTTCATCGGTTTATGGATTGTTGGCTGGCTGGCTGGTCTGGTCGCTTGCTTGCCCAGCTAGTAGTCGTCGCTGGCAGGCTGACTGCTAAAACATAAATTTAAAGAATATAAACAAAACTACAAAAACAAGAAAATACATATGCATTGTATCTGTGTGAACAGCGTGTTGTTTGTATGGGTGAGTGGCAGTGTAGCTTTGCGGGTTGTTTGAGATTTGTGTAGAATAGGAGCACAAAAACGTAAGCAATGAGAAGAGGTATGGAAGAGAAAATGTGATTAAAAAATTTATTTTTTTAAGAGAAATGAGATTTGTTTTGGCTTGCTTTGCTAATCGGCGAAAAAGGTAGTAGAATTGAAAAAAGGGAGTAGAAAATAGTAGTAGATTTATATGCTGAGCTCAAAATGCTGTAATTTTCCTATATCTCAGCGAAGTTGGTAGCTATATTAAATACTAATAAAATGTAATTTGTCAACTAGGAAGCCAAAAAACATTTTTCTGTTTGGGCAAAAATACATTAGACATTACAGAGTGAGATAAAAAAATCTGGAAAAAAGTCAAAAGCCATAATTTTTACATTTTTTTTTAAATTTTAATGAATGAAAGCACAACATTTCGGAAATAGCATCAAATTTAAGAATAAGTTTAGATTTGTTCAAATTGGTCACTTTTGACACGAATTATGGCCAATGAAACCGTTACAAGCTGCCCGAATATTGCAGTATTTTGGAAAATTCCCGGCGAAGCGCTTGCTTGAGGTGATCGACACTTTAGTATTTTTTAGTGCTAACCTTGCTTTCCAAAATAACCCACACATAATAGTTCAACGGTTCGGTATCCGTAGGTTTTGGTGGCTATTGTGCTCTGGAAATGAAGCGAGGAACCTCATTTTGTAACCATTCTTGGGTGGCGACTGCTGAGAGCGATGGTGCTGAGTCCTGTTGGAATGTACATGGTCTTTATACACCTCCAGAATATTAATAAAACACCTTCCAGAATATTTTCGCGATAATATTCGACATTTATTCTGATGCCACGGTCGATTATTACGAGCGGAGAGTGACCATCGGCTATTATGGCGGCCCACACCATAACCATGGCCGTCGCTTGTGTTCTGGTGACCAACCGTAGCCGTCTGAACTTGGTTACAGTTTTTTCATCTCACCCTGCAGTTGCAGTTTTTTCATCTCATTATGGAACTCAACTCTAATCTCCAATTTCACGAACATCAAAGTCCAAACCATAAACGCCCTGCTATCAAACTTCTAATATCAACTTAAAATGCATTAAGGCATGGCCCTTTTCCTTGGTCATAAGTGGACTTTGCAATCATCTACACAGAATCGCTTTGCAATGCCAGAAGCAACATATGATGTATGTAAATATGTTTGTTTATGCACCAACAAAAAACACACAAAACCCATGCTTACTTTCTTCCTAGAGTTTTCCCTGTTTCTCTTGGGTTTCCATGGAAAACGTCAAGGAAAA